TTTCCTGCATTTCGCCGATGACATCAAGATATGGCGGGCAATCGGCTGTCAGGAAGATCGCGATATGTTGCAAGAAGACTTAAACTGCGATTTTGAATAGTAAAAGTTAAGTCTGCTTCCCTCTAACACGGATAACTGCAAAACCGTGCACGTCCGCCACACGTCCACGTACGCATATAAGCTTAGAGACGACATGCTGAAAACCACCTCACAAGAGCGGGACCTTAGAGTGGTGATGCGAGGTTATCTCGGCTGTTCGGCACAGTTCTTGAAGGCATCCAACACCGCGAACCAACATGTTGGTCTGTAACGGAGGGCGTTCGGCCGTCGACCCATAAATCTTCCCCAAAACGCTGAATGTGTATGTGAGGCGTCAAGTTGAGTAGACGATCCAGACTTGGCAACCCTGGTTAAAACCCGATGTGGCTGCTTTGGAGACCGCCCAGCGAAGGGCAATGAAAAATTCGAAAGAGTTGTCTCATCTGCAATACCATAGGTGACTGCAAACCCCGGGAGTGTACAGCAGAAGTTATCGCCGTCTACGAGGTAGCCTCATCTTGGCGTCCCAGATTTTGAAAAACTTCGATCACGCTTGCCGAGACCTACTGAGGATTAGCTGTAACGCAGAATTGAGGGGTCATAAATTGAAAATTTCTACCCACTACAGTCGGCTGGAGTGCCGCCGGAATTATTTTTCCCTTCGAGTTTATCAATTGTGGAACGCTATTTCAACTTTTGTCATTTCCGCGCCCACGCTAACCATTTTTAAAAAACGACTCGACGATGCTTTACACCATTTACATTAGTTGTTCTGATTGCTATTCATTGAGTGACGACATGACGCAGGCAAACATTGTGCTCACCAACCCCACGAAAACGGAGTAGACGGATTTACTTTTGTGTTAATGTTAATGATATGGTAAGTCCACAGGTGCGGTTTTTCACGTTTGTGCAACTTATTTGAACTAGTTATTCTCATAAACCATTCAACGGGACTTGCCAAGCCTTGGCACTTTTCTCCACATTATACCATTGTTCCATTGTAACGTGCATTTGGTAAACGATCGCTGTAGACTTTTCTTTTAACTGTTGGGCCAGATTTTCTCATGCTGTCAGAAATTATGCTGCAGTACTCCCGGATTTACGCCAAACGTCGATACTCTGCGTCACTTGTTAACAGGCGACTTAACAACATGTTCAGATGTAACCATGCCATCTTGTTCAAGTGGTTAGCAATTCAATAATGTGCAGTTTTTCCTCAGCGTGGCACAATTTTCCAGTGGCATTGAAGGCGTTGCAACAACCGATCGTTGGGTTTTTAACAAACCGTACAAACAATGGATTTATCCATGTTTTAATGCACTTCGTTGATTTGTAGCATTGATAAATAGATGGGAGACTTTTATCTTTCGGAATGGGGTTTACACAACCTATACTTGCATACGAAGCTTCTGATGTACATGGTATACTGTCGTACATTTCTGTACAGTTGTACATGGTGATTGTCTCTCGAGATGAGACCCTGAAGTCTGAATGAAAGTTATCGCGTAGGTACCCATTTCTCCAACCTTTTAAATGTGTGGTTCGTGTTGACTATTCTTGTTGTGAATGATAGACATACATCATCTTCACAAGCAGTGCTTCAAATGCACCAGGATTTTTACACGCTTGTTGCTTAAGGGTTACCACATCGATCTGAAGGAGCACAATGTTGGTGAATTATAATCGTCTGGGTAGCAAGTAACATTTGGTGTACGCGCTGTGTGGTTGGATTGTGATTCGCAATTTCTCTTCAGAGCTCACTCCTCTTTGAAGTAGACCTCGGTCATTAGAGCACAAGGACTATATCCGAAATGGCAGTTCCGTGTTACTCCTTCCAACCCTGACACCCCGTCTGATGAGTCCAAATGAGGACGAAACCGGTTATGGGGTGTCAGAGTTGGGAGTTGCAACACCGAACCGACTGGATAGCAGTTCATTTTTGTTTACGTCATCGTACTGTCTTCCAATGCAGCTGAGTAGCACCCATGCTTAACGTGTGGCATGGCGCTGTTTTATTCTGTCTCTGACTGATACTATTAGATCTTCAATGCCTGATCTATCTAACTGGATAAAAGCTTTACTAGGTAGCTACGGGTTTGTAGCTGTGTGTTTCAGCATTATTCCATCCTACGCTTTAGTATGAAAGAAATAAACCAATATATGCACAGACTACTGAAGAATTTGTACAGCTTACCATTTGCTAAGCACAACTTAGAGTTCTACTTCCATTTAATAAACAAACCATCCTTCTAATATTATTTCTTCTTACTCAGTTGACTACGCCGCTGCTGCATCCGTAGCGGACCTCGTGTCCCGTTGGCCGAATGCGCGCCTGGTCACGGTGTTTCGCAGTGGTCGCTCGGTTGGTGCAACATCCCCAGCTCACCCAGTTTCACATTCCCCGAACAAAAGGCACCGCAGTCAATCTGTCGGTGGGAATCTTGGTTTGCACATTGTCGGTGGGGACGGTTCGGAGGCCACATTTATCTCCTACGTGCATCCTACCAAACCCGCGGGGGCATCGAAACGTTTGTTTGTCGGTGATCGTGTTTTAGCAGTAAGTCGCTTCTTCATTGTCCCCACACGAGTCAAATATTATGAGGCGTTCTTGCTAAGTCACAAAATTCCGTCAAAAATACCCAGTTTTCTCTTCACTTAATTGGGCATAGTTTGAAAAAATCGCCTCACGGAAACAACCTATATTTCTGCCACAAGTTCACTTGTCTCAGTAGCAGCGTCTAGCCACAAATGTTGCAACAATGCTGACAAGACGTGTGTACGATGTGTCTGTGTGTGCCCATACGCACGGAACAGACAGTTATGTCATTCTTAACTCCCTTGTGACAAAGCCGAGACATTCGAGTTGGGTTACTGAGTATGAGAACATTTCTTCTTTCCGTTTGAGTATGGAGTGAGTAGACCACTGGTTTACAATAGCGTTTCCTGTAACTGAGACTTCGTATACCATATCGTTTGGAAGCACGACATTAGCCAGTTTTCTAGCGGAGTATGTCGCCTTTTGGGCAAATCGAAATGTGGCTTTTAGCGCGTAGACTGAGTATCTTACCATGATAATGTCTCACTTACAATTGTCAAGACTAAAAGGGTAAACCCTTGCTCGATAATCTCCGATTGACTTGCAACTCGAAGAATCATGCCTTTATTTGGTTAAAGGCTTGATCCATTTCTGCTATCCATACGAAGTAGCTTTAAAAACGGGTTGATCGTCTCTTCTAAATGGGGTATAAAATTCGAGTCATAAACCACTATTCCCAGAAACGAACAGAGCTCACATTTGGTCTTGGGAACCGCGAAGCTATTGATTGTCTTGCGTTTCTCCGAAAACGGATCGACTTGACCATTGCCCACAATGTGGCGCAGACATACAGTCGACTTCCGAGCAACCTGTGATTTCTTGCGACTGAGTTTCGGGCCAGCTTCTTCCAGTCGTTGTACTACTGCTGCAAGCCTGATAGCATGTTCTTGTTCTGTCTCAGAGAAGACGACCGTAACATCCCCGTAAGCAACCACACTTTGTAGGTTCTCCAAGACCATCAGCAATAGGCGTCTGAATGTAGATGGCGCGTTGCACATTCCAAACGGCATTCTCAGAAACTCGTACTACTGGCCATTCACATTGAAAGCCGTCTTGTGGAGATCTTTCTCTGTGATGAGCAGCTGCCAATATCCCGATCGGAGATCTATCAAGGATATCTGATTGACACTGCGAAAGATGGGGGAAATTTCTTCCGTCTGGAGCATCGGAAACGCATCCTTCACTGTCACTCTGTTCAGTTCTCTGAGATCAATGCAAAATCGATAGGTCCCGTCCGTCTTTTTCGCAAGTAGCACGGGTGACGAATATGGACTGTGCGTTCTCTTGTTGATTCCTTTCTCTTCCATGTCTGCTACCTGTTTCTGTACCTCTATCAGTGTATTCCACGGTATACTTATGAAGATCGGCTTGGGCTGCCCTCCTGGGATTAATAGTATTCGAGGTTCCACCCATTTACAGAATCCGCAATTATCATCTGCCTCCATGAAAAGGTGGGCATACTTGCTCAGCACACTCCATATTTAAGGGTTCTGACATTCAGACAGGACCTTGATGACATATACCCGGTCGGTTCTCCCAGTATTCATCTCAATCGTCTCATTGCCTACGAGTACCAAACCGTTTCTCAGATCAACTGTAGCAATGAGCCGTTTGATGATGTCTTTCTCGATTATTGTTTCGGTGGTCTCCTCCACGATGAACATAGCGTGGCTGATGAGCGTTTCTCCAATCCTTATTCCTAACCGCTACTTGCCCGTCACCGTCAAAGGATTTCCACCGACGGTCCGCATCACGACCAAGGATTGAGTTACTGGCACTACTTCGAACCTCTTTGTAATGGATACTCCCGCCCCTGTGTCCACTATGGCCTGGACCGATGCACCTTCAATAGTTACCTTTAGGACCGGTACGCGCCACCTACTAGGCCAGGATAGAGAGAAAAATGGTACCAAGTGCATTTGGCGCAGGATCTATCCACGCAACCCAACTGATTGCATCGGAATCTGAGTCGACTGTTCTGGATTCCATTTTCATTGCGTTGTGATACCGCTGTCGGAGTCTCCCTCGATAATAGCTCCTCCACCATACCGGACAGTTGGTTTACTCTAAGTTCCAACGCCGAATCCTGGACTCTCCTCAATATCATTCGCTCCGACAAATGTTGGGTAACCGTCACCAAATCCTCGGCCTTGCTCTATCCAACCATTGCCGCCAATTTTACCTTGTCCTAAATTGGGTCCGGCAGGCTTCGAACAAATTGCTGTTTGTGGAGCCGTTCTTTAGCGGTGCCATTCAACTCGAGGAGCCTAATGGCCAAGTGTCTGTCCAGCTAGTGGAAAAACATCAAGTCCCTCTGTTCGTCCCATCTGGCTGAGTGAAATTGCTCCAATGCTCACTGTCTCTCGCCTTCCTTCCTAAATTCTGCACACAATGCCACTCTCATCTCAACGAACAAACAGCCGGAATTGGCCTTCCAAATGAGCAAATATACCGCCCACCCTCTTCCCTCCAACAGCGTGCCAAAAGCAGTCAGTAAATTGGCGTCACATGCGACCCCCTTGCATGTGGCGATGCCCTCAAATTCCTCGAGCAATGTTTTCAGGTCCCCCTGCACGAATTTCGCTGGCCAGGTCAGCTTCGTCCCGATTGGTCACGGCACCACTGTAGCGAGAACGACGCGGGAGGTTGGGCAGAGCGTGTATTGCCAAACAATTAGCAATTGACAACTCACAAACGCGTACAGATTTGGACCGCGTTTCCTTTCCATGGCGCAACTCGGATGAGAATTTGTGTGACGGGCCATTCATTGTGCCTACGAGTTAGAGCTTCGGAACAACCCTCTAAGTGTGAACGCTGATCCGAGCTCTATCCGGTGACGCGTAGTCAGTAGGTGTTTACCTATTGAGGAAGCTGGCGGCTTGCGCAAGCACGGAACTTCAGTGGGACAGGGATGCTGGTCGATTTCACGTTGAACCCACCTTGGCACGTGTTCCTTTATTCGGGAAGTCAAAGACCGATTGGTTCTGCCTATGTAACTGTCTCCGCAGTCGCATACGAATTTGTATATGCAGTGTGAGTTGGCCCCTATCGGTTGAGCTTCCTTCGTTGGAGGCACCGGCAAGTTACAGGTTCTATTGATGACCACAACCTGAGCAGCACAGTAACTTCTCTGCGTAGCAGAGATTAAACGTTTCGTGGTTTTCAATACAGTAAAGTCACCCTTGAATGGCAACTCGATATAGATCTTTTTCTTGGCTGCCGTATGCTAGCATAGCTGCCCATCTTGAAATGCTTCTCATTCATCGCGTGATTGATAGTGACACCTATAATTCGTTGAAGCCAAGTGGAAGCACTACTCCGCAGCTATACGGGTCACCGAAGACGCACAAGAGCGGAGTACCACTTAGGCCGATTCTATCAATGGTAAATGCGCCGCAGCATAAATTGGCTCGCTGGCTAGTGAAGATACTTTCGCCTCTACGACAACTGTCCAATCCATATAGTCTTAAAGATTCTTTTCAACTTATCGGTGACTTAGATGACATCAACCTCTCCGATAAGATCATGTGTTCCTTGGATGTGGAATCTCTATTCACCAACGTCCCACTACAACAAACTGTTGAATACATATGTGAGCTAGCTGAGCACTCTAGTTATTCGTTACCAATTGCAGTCGAATTTCTAAAGGAATCCTTACTGCTGTGCACAGCAAATGTTGGCTTTCACTTTCAAAACACCCCATATCGTCAAATCGATGGTGTGGCAATGGGTAGCCCACTAGGCCCTGTACTTGCCGATTTTTTCATGCTGATGATAGAAAGAGGCATATCCACAGAAATAGCCCAGTTGCCATACTATAAGCGTTATGTTGATGACATATTGGTCTTTTGTTCATCAGAGCAGCAGATTGTCCAGTTGGTGCAGCAATTCAACTGTGCACATACCAACTTGCGGGTCACCTGCGAAGTGGAACAGAAGAACTGTCTGCCATTCTTAGACATCCTCATCAGTCGCAGAGATGACGGGCTCATTAGAAGGTCTATCTACAGAAAAGCAACCTGGTCCGGCCAATACCTGCACTTCACCAGCTTCACACCAGTGCGGTACAAGCGGACCCTTGTGAAAACTTAGTTAGTCGTGCTAGACGAATTTGCTCTGCTGATTGTCTAGCCGACGAGCTAGAGTTAATTACAACAACACTCGTTGCAAATGGTTATCCACGTAGATTTATAGAGAGACACAGCCAACAGCGAGGCCCGAAAGACTTGGTGCATACGGCAGCCAAGAAAAAGATCTATATCGAGTTGCCTTTCAAGGTGACTTTACTGTATTGAAAACCACGAAACGTTTAATCTCTGCTACGCAGAGAAGTTACTGTGCTGCTCAGGTTGTGGTCATCAATAGAACCTGTAACTTGCCGGTGCCTCCAACGAAGGAAGCTCAACCGATAGGGGCCAACTCACACTGCATATACAAATTCGTGTGCGACTGCGGAGACAGTTACATAGGCAGAACCAATCGGTCTTTGACTTCCCGAATAAAGGAACACGTGCCAAGGTGGGTTCAACGTGAAATTGACCAGAATCCCTGTCCCACTGAAGTTCCGTGCTTGCGCAAACCGCCAGCTTCCTCAATAGGTAAACACCTACTGACTACGCGTCACCGGATAGAGCTCGGATCAGCGTTCACACTTGTATTACGTCACCCTAATCCCCGCTTCCTCCGTTTCGCCGAGGCGGTTGCGATAAGCCGGATGAAGCCGGCCCTGTGTGTTCAAAAGCAATTATTTATCAGCTTAAGACTGCCGTGGACATAGGTGTGGAACTTCCGTCATTCATTTTTCACCTTATGCTTATTCGGTCACACACATATTTAAGTATATAGTGGCATACCGGTTATTGTTAATGGTACTGAGGAGACAATACGAAATGCATGCATCTACCAGTTTTCGTCTTCTTACCGTGCTTTTCAAATTTCTGAAGGGAACTAACTGCTTTAAACCCTCTAAGTTTTCATCGCGTATCACCGCTTCGCTGTATCCGATCTTGGCTGGCCATGGATCGTTCGAATGCTGGCGATTTGCTCTCACATGGCTACATCACTCGACCCGCGCCCATTCCTGTGGGCTTCGCTAGCGGAGTATTTGTCTGCTTCATTACGTTCTCGACAAATACCTCCTCCCTTGTTCTGGTCCCAGGCTCGTTACCAGATGCCGCTCGTGATCCGCTGTCGGCTCGATCCGCAAGGCTCGCAGAGCTTTATCTCGTCTTCTCTATTGCGCCCGTTGGCAATTCTCTGCTATCTCGTTTTCGTTGTCTTTCCGCTTCACGAATAGTCACAGGTTTCCGCAGCCCTACATTGGTTGTGAGCGTTTTTCGCTTTTAAACAGTTCAAGCGGTAAGCTATGCGGAAGACGGAGTGATTCAAATTCCATTCTAACAAGGACTTTCGGCATGAGGCATTCATATTATTAATTTGGTAGTTATTAAATACGGTCAAAATTTTAAGTCCCTGAGAAGTTTTTTCAGTTGCTTTTCTCTATACATTTAGGTCACCCTATTTAAAGCTGCACTTTGTTCTCATGATATCTGTTCTAACGGCCGGACATTCGAAATAACAGTTACTCAGTGTCTTGTCAGGTTGTGTTCGCCGAGGAATTTTAAGTGGAACTACAAGCGGAGCTCCGTAGGCACTGCCCTAACACGTCCCACATGACATGGTCGCTAGCTGAATTTGTCCGATTCTGCGAATTTTGGTATTCCCGGCTCTGGCGCGCTAACGGTAATCTAACCGTCTGGTGTTCCTCGACCAGCTGTATACCACAGGTCATTGAGTACTAAAGCCAACGCTGCACCTGTATTTCTTCTGTCATAGTTTATCTAGTTTCTGCACCACCTGACATTTTAAGGAAATCAGTACTCATGAAGCCTGCTGCATAACTCTGTGAGAAATGGATCTCTCTCCATAGGATCTGCGAGGCCCGCCTTCCAGTCACTCAGTCAGGTGATGTTCTTGAACCTGGAAATTGGTTATGAAAGCCTAACCTACACTCTCGACAGCCAACCGGAAACTCCTAACCTTCCGTTAAGGACTTAGTTGTGCTCCCAAACTGCGACTTGAAGCCTGTGGATAACATGAACAAGCTATTTGGAAACGGATTACGCATGCTGTGTACGCTCAAACGCAGCATCCACGCTTTGTCTGAAGAGCCTGCAACTCTCCTCTTTTCTTCCACCGTAGATCAATGCTGGAGTAAGACTTACCAATTATTATCTGATCACCCCTAGTGACTTGCAAAAAGCGGAAGAGGTTCATTATATAGCTACCAAGCTCATCCACAATTTACGGAGTGAGCCGTAAGAAGACTGATCTAAGAGGCTTGGGTTACGCGCCCCGCTCTATCTTCAACTTAGTGCTGACCCTCAGGATACTACGTCTGGGTGACTTCTCTATGCTACGGTGGCTGATGCTAACACTAACGCCAAGCAGTACACATAGGCGTTGGTACAACCATGTTGTGCCGGACTTAAAGTGGATTGCTCACTCTGTTTGCTTCGAGTGTCGAAACATTAGAACGTTTTGCCATTGGAACTAGTCGAGGAAAGATTGTTTCCTGAATTGAGGAAATTTCTGGTGACACACTTCGCCCCTGCTAGATTTAGACGTAGGGAGTATCAAACCTCTGCAACTGAAAGTTGAAGAGAATTTGTCTGAATATAGTATTGGATAAATATATCTAATCACCGACAGCCTACAAGTGGGCTCAACGAATCCCATCCCAATAACACATAGCAAGACAAGCTTCCTAATACGTCTATTGCAGCATATCCCCCAACTCGTGTAATTTACATCTTCATATCAACCAAAAATTCATTGGTGCAATGCTGAAGAATTTCGATGTTTGTAAACTTAAACCCATCCGATGGACTTACTAACTAACGCAGTGCCAGCAGAGGCGCATATATATCCGGACGTTTGATTAAGCCGAAAGTGTTATTTACACCGCCCAAGTGCAGGATTTTCAGCTTTGTACAAACCATCAGTTCGAGAAATGTAACCATTTATTTATATGAAAAGCATGGTAAGAAGACGAAAGCTGGTAGATGCATGCATTTCTTATTGTCTCCTCAGTACCATTTACAATAACCGGTATGCCACTATATATTTACATATACGTGTGACCGAATAAGCATGAGGTGAAAAATGAATGACAGAAGTTCCACCCCTATGTCCACTGCAGACTTAAGCTGAGAAATAATTGCGTTTGAGCACACAGGGCAGACTTCATCCGGCTTACCGCAGAGAATTTACTGTGCTGCTCAGGTGGTGGTCATCAATAGAACCTATAGCTTGCCGGTGCTTCCAACGAAGGAAGCTCAACGGATAGGGGCAAACTCACACTGCATTTAAAAATTATTGTGAGACTGTAGAGACAATTACATAGGCAGAACCAATCAGTCTTTGAATTCCCGAGTAAAGGGACACGTACCAAGGTGGGTTCAACGTGAAATTGATCACCATCCCTGTCCCACTGAAGTTCCGTGCTTGTGCAAGGCGCCAGCACCCTCAATAGGTAAACATCAAGTGGCTACGCGTCACTGGAGAGAGCTTGGATCATCATTCACACTTGTGTTACGTCACCCTACTCCCCGCTTCCTCCGTTTCGCCGATTCCGTCGTGATAACTCCTGTGTGTTCAAAAGCAATTGTTTATCACCTTAAGACTGCAGTGGACATAGGGGTGGAACTTACGTCATTTATTTTGCACCTCACGCTTATTTGGTCACACGCATATTTAAATATATAGTGACATGCCAGTTATTGTTAACGGTACTGAGGAGACAAAACGAAATGCATGCATCTACCAGCTTTCGTCTTCTTACCGTGCGTTTCAAATTGCTGAAGGGAAATAACTGCTTTAAACTTATTTATATTTCTAATTGTTTATAAGCAGACATATGGACTTTCTGCAATTCAGTCCAATATCTTAATCCGTTTCTTTCCTCACCTATTATTGACTGCAGAAAAGCATTTGTGAAAAACATCGATGTGACACCTTTTCATATTCGGTTCATAAGCTCAACTGTCATCTCTTATGCATTCGCGACATGTCATTTATTTACGATTCAGAGATGGAGAACGGATGTACACATCTGTTTGTTTGGTCTTCCGTGTTCACATCGAGAATAACGCTCGATTTCCTCCACTTTCAGGTGAATGGCATCGATGTGACCGAATACGGTCACGAACAGGCCGCCGCGGCTTTACGAAACGCACCCGACCGAGTGGATTTAGTGCTCGCGTATTGTCCTGAAGGTAGGCAACGATTTTACCAACAGTGCCACACCAGTTTCATAGTGAAAATGGTAAATGCATCATTTAAACACACCGTTTGTTGCCGGCAATCAAATGAATTAAGCTATGCAATCCGTTTCTCATATTCATCAAATCACCCGGTTTTTTATCGCGTTAAATGGCACGTCAAAAGATTTAACAGTTTCGACTACTTCATATGCTTCAAGGTCAATACATCACCTTCCGCGCGAATCACGTGTGCTCCAAAAGGTTAACTCGTTCCGCTGTGAAGGTGACAGGGTCCTGTCGACAGCTGTTTGGCTGTAAACATCCATTTAAGAAAACAAATACGGTCGTCAAATAGATAACTCATGTGATGAATGTGCTGATTCTGGTATCTCTTTCCATCTCACATGGGATATCGGTGCATACTGGCATGTAAGGCTTCGTTTGACTAGCGGTACATCGAGGTCAGTCGTAGCAATGGTAGTACCCCCTCTCTTACGCCGCGGTGACGTGCAATTAACACATCATCACAATGACAGATATATGAATATCGAGTGACAGCGGTGTAGAGAGAGGTTTTCATCTTGCTATTGAATGTAATTTGATCGTGGCATAGAGACCGCCGGGAAACTGGTATGTGATTCATTGATAAAAGCGCACAATGCAGTAGACTGTGTTTTCACACGTCAAGCATACTCGTGCGAAAGCCACAATGTTTTTAATGCTAGCATATTTCTAAGGGGACAGATATGCTGGGTACAGCAACCTGTTTGAGATTTAGAATGGATGAACAATTCCCCAATTGACTGTGCGAAATGGAACAGTTAACGGGCGTGTTGGTAAGGTGGGAATTATGTCTCCTTCCGCAGCTGTTGCGCTCTTAGTGAAAACTGATCACTAAGTCAACGCCGTTGTAGAACTTACCTTGCTCGTGTTTAATTAAAAATGCAATTTTCTACTTGAGGCCGTCGTCGTTGATCTAGCACAGCCACCAATATTTACCCACGGTGTTAGGCTGAGCCTCAACAAGCAGCTGCATGTTGGCCATCAGTCAATCACACATAATGTTGCATTTTGGGAAACATTACTGGTTACGCAAAAGTGTTTGAAGGGAACGCACTAAGTGACGACATTAGCCCATAACCTGCATCTCCTGACAACATTATTCGTGGCTAAAAGGGAATTTTTCACGTTCCATTTGCTCCATGCTTTCATATACGTGTACACACGATGTGTAGGCGAAATACAAACGCATTGGTGCACGTCATAAACGAAATTTATGATATAGCATAACCTTAGTAAACCGCATTTCGAAATCAGGAATTTTGATTGCAGTAACAACAACCATTGTGCTCCATTCCATCGTAGTGATTATGTATGCGTACAGTCGTTGAGAGTTCAGAAAAATGTTTGAAATGTACAGATACCATGTATACAGTTGACTGTGCATCTGAGTACCAACCAGCGTACCCACCTAATAGAATGTGAACAAGGTGATTGGGACCTGCTGAATGAACCACGCCTGCTGCCTCCAATACCACAGCGTTCGACAATCGTTTACTCAGGGATCGACCGAACACACAGGTTCTGATAATAAAACATCGAAAACAAGCTCATTTGCAAAACCAACTCTTCATGACTAACACGGGAATTATCCGCTATTGGTGATCATTTACCGAATGCTTCCTGAGTGTGTGAGCACCGCATATGACCAACCGTCCGATGTTAATAACTCGTATATCGTTTTTGTCCAGCCACCTATATAATCGTGGCTACGTCACTTTCTATACTGCCGACTGGAGACAACTACCATGGATGTTTGAGCATTTGTCGCAATGGACTCCTTAGTATGCTTCGCACTGTGTTGTCCTTTATCAGTGCCCGTCACTCGAGTTACTTTCTTCTTCGCTTACAAACTCTTGGGTCAAATTTTCCTGCATGTCGCCGGACCGATTGAAAACGAATTGCTGATATCTATAGAAAGGGCGAGATGACTGTCTTCTTGATGTCATGACCCACATGCAAGGATTTATCTGCTACAAGTCCCACTCTAGATATCTTGCATGTACACGTGTCGACCACTCCGGTTCTTTCCATCACCTTGTATGTGGAGCTATGTTTATCGAGACTGAACCGCCGCCTTTTAAACTTTCTACCACAATGGGCGATTACCTCAGGCTTCATGGAAGCGTTCCGTAAACCACATTGTTCCCCGAGTAGTCTATATTCTCAGGTGGTTGGATTGTCTGTTCTGCAGATGATCCAATGGTTGTATGTGTCCTCAAACATACTGTGCTCCAGGGCATACGAAAATTCTCCAGCGTACTTACCTAAGAGAAATCTAGTAGTTTTTAATGTCTGACTAGCTGCTTTGACGTCACACTTACCGATGTCACTGCAGTTGTTTCCACTATCGGATCGCTATAAGAAAAGCGATATTCCTCTTAAGTAGCTGGATATTAGTTGTACTTTTGTTGAGGTTTTCATCCCAGCAGTTCACAAGCTCGATAGCACAACCTAGTCCGGAAAAGCATCAGACGCGTTTCTCCTTATTGGGGCTAACCACTGTCAGTGACAGTGGAAGATAGCTGGTGCTATGTCCCAGTTAGTTTGCAAATTATGTAGCCCAGCCAACATTCTCCATGGCTCAGTGGTTTAAGCTGCTTGTTAGTTGCTATCTGCCGCTAGCGGTCACGGGGTCGATCCTCCTTAGAGGACCGAAGGAATGAGCACCACTGATAAGCCCCAATAAGGCGAAACCCGTATGGTGCATTTCCGGACTAGGCTGTGCTATGTAGCTTGTGAACTACTGGGATGAAAACCTCAACAAAAGCGATATTGCTTTCTTTGATGATCCTACGGGATATTTTTGCACCTTGAGCTCATTTGCGCTCGAGTTTATAAATACGTTGACATCCTCCTCCTTTTAGGATGACTATTCAACATACTTGATCGCGCGCCATACTTTGCAAAAGTTAAAGTGGAAATTGTTTAAGGTTGTCTGTGCACTGACGCATTCTAGCTCACTGTGCCTTATTAGTTTGTTCGGATCTGAAATCTATGCCTCTAGCTGCAGCAGGTTTATATGCTTAAATGTAAAGCTCAAACCTATCTGGACTCACTTTGGCAGTCATCTTGTGTTGAACTGCATTCTGGATGACCTTCGATTTTACAGAGCGGTACGTTTCTTTCGGACCCAGATAGTCTAGAGATAGATTATAACAAATTAAGTCAGCTTGTCACCACACGGCGGCGACAAATGTGACTCGGTTCCCAGCTGTGGTTTATCGCTGTTCATCCTGTGCTGCACTGCATGTCACGCCGCCAGGTATACATAGGGATTTCCCCTGACTAAAAAAACTAATTACGGCGGTTGTGCGCGGGCTTGCATGAGCATTAATAATTCAACGGGAGTATGTTTCGCATAGCCACTGTACTATTTCTCTCTTACACGCGCACGCGAACCGTGTCGCGCAATTTCATCTCAGTTCTTCGATCGCTTCTTACGGTTGCAATTAGCCGTCATTATCCCTGTGCCGCGCCAGCTGTGCACAATTCTCAGAACGCCTACAGCTTTTTTCCGTAGATTTGATTCTGTCAACCACCTAACTTCATGGTGTTAAGGAACAACAAAATGTACCCTAGCTTATTTTCGCCAGTTCGCTTACTGGCACCTGATTCACCAAACAAACAGCTGTTCCCATGTCTTGTACAGTCGAAACTGACAAGCAGTTTTATCAAGAGTAGTCCAGATAACTGCACTTAAGTCTGGGGATGAAACTGTTTTTGTCAGTCACAGTGCTGGAAAAGTTAAAAGCCTTGATTCTGTACCAAAATCGGTCAGCTCCTCCACCCAAATTAACAGCTTAACTAGTGGGACTAATTTCGTTTAACAGCTTGCTGGTCGACAACTTGTAGTATAATGAATTAGATATAAACCACGCTCCCACCCTTCGGTTATTCAACGTTCCAACCACTTGATGGAGCAGATACAATCAGCTGCTTGGCTCACTAAGGTTTCGTAGTGACCTAACGTGTGCCTGCCGTTGAGATCACGCGTCGCGTTACGGACGTATGGAGCGCAGCTGCTCAGCACTGGATTGAAAATAAAGCTTCTAGATGCCTGTTCCTGACAGAGTAAGTTCAAAAGCTGAATCGGATCAAACTAACAAACTCGATGTTCCATTTTTGAAGATTGCACATTTGCAGCCTTGCACTTCAAGACCGGTTTTGTATTACATACACTCGTCAGCCAATTCTAGCAGGACTGTGTTTTGAACCCGGCGACTCAAAAATTTCTGTCGAATTGTCTATCCTTGAACCACCCAGCCGTAACCGACAAATTCGGCACGGCGCTTAATGAATGATTGCAATGGCCATATTAAAGCACTGGTTGTGTGAACAATGGAGTATAGTGATTTTGGGCGGTTAGGACAGCACAATCGCCGTCTGGTTTATCTGCTAGGGTATCAGTAAATGAATTGATCAAGACTCCCTTCTGCGTGAATCTCGGTCCACCTTGAGTTGCGAGTCACAAATGATTCGCCAAACTTGTACTCGAAAATGGCCATCCGATCAGTCCTTCACCGGTGTGCCAAGAATTGCACGTCGCCACCCGGTAGCCAAAAGGGGTAGAGGTTTCGGCTACTATTCCAACGGTCACGGGTTCGAGGCCTGCCATCTCCAACTGAATTGATTAAATGAGATCGAAACGCGTCGTGGTGTGTAGTGTTTTCGGGAAGGCAACTCCCAGTTTCCGTCCGCTTTGGCTTCGGTCCCAATGCTCGAAGTGACCAAGGTTCATTTCATTGTGAATCGCGGTCCACGAACATATATTTTCCGCAACTTCATGCGTGACCCAAGGCCTGGACATTACACAAAATTGGCCGAGATTGGACAAATATCCAAGCCTAATATACTGAAGTAGTAATCATCTAAAACGCAAACATTGATGGGAAGCGCTCGCGAACGTGTGTATGTATGTTGTTAGCGTAGGATTTTTTGTGATACTGCAC